CGTTTCTTTTTAGATAGCGGCAGGTGGGTTGACTCTCCAACTTTTCTCTTTGTCGGGAGGTTGTATTCCTCTTCGTCCGAATCGGAATCATCTTCGTCACTGTCCGAGTCGCCGCGATAGTCCAAATCAGATCCAGGTGAAGACCTGTCTTCTCCTAATGCTCCATCTCGTATTCCTTTCGTGCGTTCGCTGACAACTTTCTGGCGAGGGCGAAGTTTTCTGCCATCAGTACGTGCTGGAGCACGCCGTGGAGGCGGGAGCACGACTCCGTCGAATAAAAGTACTGTTCGAACACCGTTTCCTGGTACCAATTAATATCAGATATAATTGAGAGCTTGATTACTTACCCCGGGACTGCGTAGTAGTACTCTGTGAGACCCGCGGTCGCACTTTGATTGTGTCTTCAATGATAATATTTAGTTAGGGATGGAGTGCTTTTGGGCGAAAACAAACCAATTCCATCTTCTTTGGCGAGCTCCTCAGGCATTGCGGATTGGGAAAAATGAACGGGAATACGGAGCAATCGGTGGCCAACAACTAGCAAACAAAATTGATGACCATGGATGACCCTGACAGGCCGTACTGTGCTTTAGGTTCAGTTTTTGGATTGAACACATTAAATGACATGAAGATACGTTAGATATACTGCCAGCTAATACATAAAACTATGAAATGTGACGAATCAATATTCAGTGAGGTCAATAATTGAGAAAGTCTCCGTCTCTCCACTTGGACCATCAGTAACAGCGGTATCCCTGTGGCAATAGTGTTGTCAGAGGTTGAAAGAGAATGTAAGTCAACAACAAACGCAACGCGAGAGAATAACTCCGCCGTAATTTCGTGGTACCCAGTTGGGCTGTCTTCCTTCGTTTGCCGAAGCGTTGTTGCAGGGTGGAGATAGATGGCAATAAAGGTATTGCCTTCAAACTTGACTCTACTCTTTTTTCCATTCCGCCATTCATAAAGAGCGACTTACACCTAGTACGTGACGTGAATTCGGGCAAGTAGCGATGAGATATAAAGGAAACTTACAGCCGTTGCGATGAGGGCTACCGTTGCTATTGGTAGCTCCTTTCGGTCATCCT